ACTTGAAAATGTCTGTATAACTATAGAAGGCCCAAGGAAGCACATCTTAAAGAAATAACATTTCTTTTTCTACTTATGAAAATATTAAATATGAAAATATTAAATAAAAAAATTTTTTTTGTTTGTAAATTCAACAAAGACAGCAAGCATAAAGAAGCGCCACCCTGAGATCCAGCTGCCTGAAGACGGTTATTTTAATTTTTTAATTGTTGCTGAGTATATTCTTCATTATACTTCACATGCATAAATTTACACCCTGATCCTGAATATAGTCATCACACTTTTTAAGTTCTGAATGCGTTTCCATTTTTGGAGCTGTATTGCAAACGACACCTGAATATTTTGTATTTATCTGCACACTAGTGTTTCTGTAGAACAGTCCTGGAAGTGGACTGGGGAATTAAGTGTTTTAGCCTAAAGTAATGTAATCTGGGAGCTTCATGTTTACTGGATAAGAATAGCTTGCTTTTCTTTAGGTTGAAATTTCTCTTAGAAAATCTGAAATGTGCACTTTCTTTTCTTAGTGATGCAGATTCCTTGTAAGTACAGACACAGCTTCTTAGATAATCTGGAGATGTAGACCCTTTGTAGTTCTGCTTGCTGAGGGCAGCCGTTTCTAACTCATGTTCAAACATCATTCGAGATAGGAGCTTGCTCTGTTTTTAACCAGCTATTGGTTGCTGGAAAATTTTATTCTTATATCAAACTGAAATATGTTGCTTCATCATTTCCACAATTATTTCTGCACCGGGACCGCAGACGAAGAAGCTGCTTGCCTGTTCCCAGATGACTTCCTCCTCTGTCCTGACTTTTTTGTTAATCAACTTGACAGGCTAGAGTTAGCTGGGATGATTAACCTGAACTGAGAAAATGCTTCCATCAGATTGCCTCTAGACAAAGGCTGTAGACATTTTATTGATGATATGGGAGGACCCAGCCTACCGTGAGTATCGCCACCCCTGGGCAGGTGGTTTCGGGGTATATAAGAAAGCAAACTGAGCATGAAGTACTTCTTCATGGCTTCTGCTTCAGTTCTTGCCTGGAGGTCCTGTCCCAACTTCTTTCGGTGATGAACTGTGATAGCGAAGTGTAAGCCGTAAACCCTTTCATCCCCAGGCTGCTTTTAGTCATGGTGTTTTATCGAAGCAATAGAAACTTCAACTAAGACACCCATTATCTGAGAAGAGCTATCAAATGTTGATATTCTCTACTTTGTAAGCCAGAGAGCTCACCCGTCTAGCTATGTCTGAATCATATTATAGTTTTCTTTTGCTGTCTTAGTCTGTATTAAAGCTCATGTTGGTGCCGAGTTACATTTTTATAAGCAGACATTTATACATTGACTGCTGAATTTAGGTGCTCTCTCCCCACTCCGTTTTGAACATTGGGATATTGGACCTGAAAACACAGCTTTGAATTTCTTTTCATTAAATGAAATCTTCCTTAAATTAACACATTGTCCTAGCTGTGGGTTATGTTAGGCCCCGTAGGTTGGCAGGCCTCTGTCCTACTATTCCCAGGTTTGTGTAAGCTGTGGGTTTGATTAGGACTTTCCCAGAGCTTTGTAAACCTTTCCACTAACGAGCCCTTTTTACCTGAGAAAATTTTATGTGACCTTAGCTCTTGTAGTTTATAGGTTTATAGTCAATCATTTAGTGTTAATAAATTCCAAGTATATTTAAATTTTATTTTATATGTATGAATGTTTTGCCTGCATGTCCTATGTCTGTGCGCAGCATGTGTATGGTGCCTGTGGAGGCAGAAGGCAGAAGAGGATGTCAGATCCCCTAGGACTGGAGTTACAGATGGTTCTGTGTTACCATGTGGGCAGTGGGAATTGAACCAAGGTCCTCTGCAATAGCAGCCAGTGCTCTTAACCACTGAGCCAACTCTCTAACCCCATAAACATATCTTAAGACAATTCTTTGCTGTATATATAACCTTAGTCATTTATTAAAGATAAAATCAAATTTTTGTACTAATGAGATGAGTGTGTTTAGTTTATTTTTTACGTAGAGATTTAAATCTTGGTCAGATGTTTAACTGCAGGCACAGCATCTTCGGTGTTAAGAGTTGATTGATATTCTGATTTTATGGCCAGTGCTGAGAGTGTCGCTTTGCTTAAGTACACAGTGCAAATGCCAAGGCTGTTTTGTAGGACTGTAGCAAAAACTGCTGGACAGTGTGGTGTGGACGAAAGCCCATATCACCTGAATTTATTTATTTATCTTGTTTTTAGAAATTGGTCTACAACTCAAAGAACAGTTTTAAAAATAAAAATCCTAACAGTGCACTCCACAGATAGGATGGTCCGCTACCTACATGCTGTGGAATGAAGGCAAGAAAATACTTAAAAAGTCGCTCTTTTTCCAGAGCTAAAAGAAGTTTTGTGGGAGAGCAGTGAGCGCAAGTGTGCACTTTGGCTTAATGAGGTCATGTGACTTCACGGAAGGGAACACCTCAGGCTTGTATGGATCAGATTTTGGGTTACGTTTCCATGGTTGCCTGTTCAGAGCCTGTGCTGTCAACAGATTTCTCATAGCCCTCACAGTCATTTCTGGATCACAGTCCACAGGTTTAGAAGCTGGGTTCTAGGTTTGCCGTGGAGTGGCAGGACTCGTCCCGGGGACTGATGGCCGCTGTGTGCAGTAGGGCTGAAGTCCGTTCCTTCCTGAGGGTCACCCTCCGTGTGCTTTCATTTTCCAGCACCACTGACGACCCTGTGCTCACAAAGCTGACTGCTAGGGATGGCTGCACGCCCAGAGGACCTGGGTTTGACCACCCACGTGACAGCTCACAGCTGTCTCTAGCTCCAGTCCCAGGGGATCCATAGTACACAGACATACATAGAGGCCAAATACCCATACTCACAAAATAAAACTTAGGGGAAAAAAAGAGGAAACCAAACAAACCAACTTTAGGCTAGAGGGAAGGCTCAGCAGCTGGGAATGTTTACTGCTCTCCGAGAGGACCCAGTTCTTAGTGCTTAGCTCACAATCACCTGTAACTCCAGCTTCAGGGCGTTTAAAACCCCTTCTGATCTCCAAGGGCTCCTGCACACCTGTTGTCCACAAAACCTGTATAGGCGTGTGTGTGTGTGTGTGTGTGTGTGTGTGTGTGAATTCTAATTCAACTTCAGACTGTAGACAAGTCCTTTCTCTGGTGGGACACTCATCTAGAATGTGTGAGGGCCTCATTTCAAATCCCAGCATGCCAAACAGCAACTCTCCCTCTCCCCAGAAATTCAGCATTTAGCAGGAAGAGGCAGGAGGATCAGCACTTCAAGGTCAAGTTCCAGGCTTTGTGAGACTCTGTGTCAAAAAAGAAAAAACAAGAAGAAAAGGAAAAATGTCTCCTGTTCATTAACCATTAACTGCCTAGCACATTTCTCTTTCCTTACCATGTTGTAGTTTATTATATATGTTTTCTATCTCAATTTTAACTTAATACTGTATTGGATATTTAAAACTGAGAGATCTTTTTTGAAAACAATACTCTAAGTCTGGGGAGTGACTCAGTTGGAAAAGCGTACAAGCTTGAGGACCTGAGTTGGGATCCCTGGCACCCATGGAAGAAGAGGGGCGTGCCAGTGCGTTCCTGTACTCCACCAAGGCTGGGGTGAGGAGGGCGCTGGGAGAGCCCGCTGTACAGGAAAGATCCCTGACCCTCACAAGTACTGTGTATATGCACCACACCCACAGTCCCGCCATACCCAGTTCAATGGTATTTGAACGGTATTCACAACCTGTATTTGTGAATCACCATAGTTAATCATTTCTCCATCAGTCTTTTAGGTCATCACTTCTCATCAGTTCTGAGGAATTTATGTCAAAAGCTTTTTCAGATTCTGCCATTACTTTGTAAGGATTAGTTCCAGGTCTAAATTCATGTCCAAGTCTGTGTATGTTTTAAAAACTGGGTTACTTTTATTGATAGGTGATACCAAAATAACACAGAGGTCTGGACAGCTCCCCTGTCTTTTGTGGTAATCCTATTTTTGAGTTTTTTTCCTTTGTGCTCTGAATTAGATCATTAAGTCCTTCGTTTTAACTTTAACATTCTTCCCACCCCCCCCCCCCAGGTCAAGCCATACTTGAATTTTACTTTCACAAACTCGTGTTCTTGTGCTCAGATTGCTCTTTGCAAGTGTTGTCTGAGCACTTTGTTACTTTACACATCGGCAGCTGTGATGCAGATTTAGTGATGGGCATTCAGCTGTAGGGTAGAGGGATAGGGGAGGGGACCTGACTACTTCTGTTTTAAACGTTTACTGTTTCTTCTTGTACTATTTTTTCTGATACCCTTTTTAACTGGAGTATATAATTCTAGGTTAGGTTTGCAATATCTGTCACTTAGCTTATCAGCAGGCCCATACTTCAGCTAGTTCTTTTAGTTTTAAAAACGACTTGTACTAACATACATTTATTTATTTATTTATTATGTATACAATATTCTGTCTGTGTGTATGTCTGCAGGCCAGAAGAGGGCACCAGACCTCGTTACAGATGGTTGTGAGCCACCATGTGGTTGCTGGGAATTGAACTCAGGACCTTTGGAAAAGCAGGCAATGCTCTTAACCACTGAGCCATCTCTCCAGCCCTCGTACTAACTTTTTATAGGTTAAAATATGGGATCTTTTTACCTGTTTCTTTTTACTCCCCCAGCCATTAATCAACAAGAACTTGTAGGAATTCCACAAGACTAGTTTTAATTTAAATTTGTTGCTTACATACTAACTATTATATCTTTTAAAAATGTTAAGCGGATTTTGAACTTTAGTATGTATGTCTTAAAATAATGTACTTTATTAATTATTTAAGTATCACTGCCTGAGTTTCAAATGCCTATCTGAACATATCCAAATAGAGAGGGGAGGCCCAGGCACGCCACACGCAGCCCGTCTGTGTGGTGTTCAGAGTGCTTAGACTCAACAGATATTGTAGAACATGTGTTCTTTGCCGTATGTATTTTACACCTGTGTCTTAATTCATTTATTTAAGATCTGGACGCTGGTGGTTGGCTATGTGCTGATGGTTTCATTCAAGTGGAATGCAAACACTGAACGCTACTTGAGAGCAGTTGCGATTCCTGTCTGGATGATACTGCTTTTTCATATAGGTGGGTCCTTTCTAATTCTTTGTGAACAGTTGCCCTGTAACTGTAGTTTAAGGTCAGCAGAGGCTGACCAGTGAAAATGAGTTCTTTAACAGAGTCTATAGAAAATGTTGAGCTTTGAGCTTTCTCTAATCTTAAGAGTCTTAGTTTTTGTTGATCTTTAAGTTCCTTATGCATTCTTTTAGTAAGTCCTTGAAGGATGAGTGTGCCTCGGACTGCAGTCACAGTGACCCTCTAGCTCATTCTGCTCTGGGCAGACTTGGGGAGGAGATAGATAAGCCCCCAAGGATGATAAGAGTCTTGTTGAAGGACTGGGGATTTTTAGTCTGGCTAAGAGGAAGGACCTGGGACAGGAATGGGGGAGGACATTGGGCCAAAAGAGTGCGTGAAATATGCAAGCCACTTCCTAAGAGTCAAAGGACTGCCCATCTTGTGAAAGAGTGACTTAAGCAGCTCCCTGATCATGAGGGAGAGATGCCAGAACTTCAGGAAGCATCAGAAAGACAGTTCCATGTCAGGCCTGCTCAGAGTCATAGGTTTCCTGTCCTGAGGAGCAGCTCACTCTTAGCTGGGTGGGGATGGTGATAGTGGTGGGGTTGGTGCTGCTGCTGCTCTTGAACGGCTTTTCAGCATGACTTACAAGATTGGGCAAGACATATTTCTAAACCTGAGTTGATGGGAATAATAGGTTCTTTCTAATTTAAAAACAAAATAATCGAGCAACCTAGAGAAGCAGGTGGCTGAAAGTAGCTTTAGAGTCAACCTTCTTTGTAAGTTGTCCCTCCTTCCCCCCAAGAAAGCAACAGCTAAGCCCAGCTGGCTCTGATTTTAAGAGGGCTGTACTCTATAGAATTGTTGAGTTGGCAGCATGAGGTTTATCTGCAGGATGTAACTCAGGGTGAGTTTGCAGAAGGCAGAGGAGGGAGTCCCATGAAAACTCAGGGAAGGCAGGTGCTTAGGGATTAACTGTATGCTGTGGGAGCTTTGGCTGTAGCCTTCGGGTTTGTTGGGCCCTTTAGGCTGGCTCCCCGGCTTCAGGATCAGTGCCTGACTGTTTGTCCTAGTATCAGGTGCTGCATAAGTTGAACTTGATTTTGGGGTGACCTGAAACCTGTGAAGGGTGTGTCTGGGTGCCTGTAATGGGCTAGGGATTGACCTCTTAAGAGTAGGTTGGCACATACCTTGATCTTTGAGAGAATGAACAGAACTGTCCTTGAGGTGGGGTTTACCTGCAAGTGTCTTTTAAAAAGCATTTTCCCCGTGGAATGATTTCTTAATTGGCACGTATATCAAAATGCTCTGTTAACTAAGAATGCTAATTCTTAATGATTTTCAGCATCACTGGCTGGCTCATGGAGAATCCCAGTATTCCTGGTTATTGTCTTCCTGATGTCTGTGGGCACCCTTTATGAAAAACAGAATGGGAAGGAGTCTGCTGGTAAGAATCAGCCTACTATGAATATATTCTTAATATTTTGAGAGGATAACTGTCTCTATCGCTGTGATAAACACCATGACCAAAAGCAACTTGAGGAGGAAAAGATTTATTTCATCTTATAACTCTCAGGTCAAAGGTCACACCCTATCACAGAGAAGTCAGGATAGGAACTCAAGGCAGGCGCTGATGCAGAGGCCGCAGTGAGCTGGCTTACTCTCTGTGACTTCTCAGCCTGTGTTCTGATACAGCACCTGACCACCTGCCCAGGAATGGCAGCACTCACAGCGAGCTGGGCCTCCCACACCAATCATCGATCAAGAAAATGCACCACAGTCCAGCCTGAGGGGGAATCATCTTCCCAATGATTCTACTTTATGTCAAGGCATAAACCTAACCAGCATGATAACTTACAAAGAAAAAAAAAATCTAAGGCGAAATCTCCTTGAATATATTTAAAAACCTGAAATAGTTTTTAAACAGAAAATCAAATTATCTAAAATTTTAGGGTTTTTTTAGGTCATGATCTGATTTTTTTTAATATTTATTTATTTATTATGTACACAATATTCTTTTTGCATAAATGCCTGCAGGCCAGAAGAGGGCACCAGACCTTATTACAGATGGTTGTGAGCCACCATGTGGTTGCCGGGAATTGAACTCAGGACCTTTGGAAGAGCAGGCAATGCTCTTAGCTGCTGAGCCATCCATCTCTCCAGCCCTCATGATCCTATTTTTGTATCTTTTTATTATAGTTAACATAAATAAATAAATAGCCATTAACTATTATAAAATGGCATTTAGTTCTTGCCCAGTACTGACTGTATACCCATCATCCCTATCTAGTTTTGCAGTATTTATCACTCTGAAAGGAAACCCTGTGCTTGGTTCCAGCATACAGACAGAACACACTCTGTTACCTGTTAACCTTCCTGTACATAGATTCCAGCATACAGACAGAACACACTCTGTTACCTGTTTCCCTTCCTGTACATAGATTCTAGCATACAGACAGAATACACTCTGTTTACCTGTTAACCTTTCACACATATTTGGGTCACTTTCACCTTTCTGATATCGTGAATATCAGTGCTTCTATGAAGCATTTGTGTACAAGAAACTGTTTATTCTTTTAAAGAACTTGAGTCTCTTAATATGCTTAAATCAATACGTAAAAATATAGTGTACATATTACGAGGTGTCATATAATGCTGTGATGTATGTATGTCATTTGAATTTTGGTTATTCACCTTAGAGAGGATTCCTGGGTAATGGTAATTCTGTGTTTAACTATTTCAGGAACTGTGAGGCTACTTCCAGGGTAACTCAGCAGTTAACATTCTTCTACCCTCAATAACATTTCCTGCTTGCTCTGGATAGCACCAGTCCAGTGTGTAGGGGCTTCTTACAGTGATTTTTGATTTGGGTTTTCTAATGACTGCTGGTGTGAGCATCTTTTTATGCATCTGCTAGTCGTGGAGAAATGTCTGTTTGTACTATTTGGCCTTTTAAAAATTAGGTTGTCTTTTGTTGCTGAATTCTTTAAATATCTTGGATACTGAGCAGATACATATTCTGTAAATATTTTATTCCATTGGTTATCTGAGTTTTTTGGTAACTTCCTTTTAATTTAGTGTTTCAGAAATTTTTATTTTTAGATATGTATATCTGTGTATGGGTTTGTGCATCTGAGTGAGGTGCTCAGAGAGACCAGAAGAGGGCATCAGATCCTCCAGAGCTGGAGTTACAGGTGGTTATGAGTACCCTGAAGTAGGTGCTGGGAACTGAACTTGGATCCTAGAAGAGCAGTATACATGTTCTTAATTGCAGGTTCATCCTCCAGATACTTTCTATATTCTCGCTCTCGCTCTCGCTCTCGCTCTCTCTCTCTCTCCAGGATTTCTCTGTGGTACAGTCCTGACTGTCCTGGAGCTCACTCTATAGACCAGGCTGACCTCGAACTCACAGAGACCCACCTGCCTTTGCCTCCTGAGTGCTAGGATTAAAGGTGTGTGCCATCACTACCCGGCCAATTTTTATTTTTAAAGCCCAGTCTTGGTATTTTTCTTTTGTGCTGTTGTCATATCTAACAAACTTGGCTATATCCAAGGCCATAAGTATTTACCCCTTGTTTTCCTTTTGGAATTTTATATTTTGTCTCTTATATTTAAGCCATTGATCAGGTGTCAGTTGCTTCTTGGATGTAACATGAAGTAAGTCCACCCTCTCTTTGCATGTTTGACTTCTAGTTTCTCCCAGCACAAGTTGCTGAAGTTTTTTCTTTTTTTGAGTGGTCTTGGTAGCCATGTGAAGAATCATTCGAACATGGTTTATGCCTACACTTTTGTTCTTCCTTGACTTTGCTGTTTGTCCTTATGCCAGTGTTTTGGTGAAGTAGGAGTATAAGTTCTCTAGCTTTCTCTTTTTTTTCCAGGCTGTTTTGGTGGTTTTGATTTCCTTCATTGCCATGTGAGTTTTAGGATCATTTTTTTTTTTCTATTTTCACATAGTAGTCTGCTGGAATTTTGATAAGATTGTTGAATTCATCGGTAATTTGGGGAACATTGCGTTTTTTTCTCTCTTTCACACACACACACGCACACACGCACACACACATTCCAGTAATCAACCTCCCAGTTCATGAGTCTGGAGTGCATGTCCATGTATTTATTCTTTAAGATCTTCATGTAATATTGTGTTTAAGTGTTGTATATTCTTGGTTTAATTTATTCCTTATTATAAAAAGTGCTTTCTGAGTTTCCATTTTGTATGAAATGTAATATATTTTGTATTATGCCGATACTGTACCCTTCATCTCTGCTGAATTTATTTCTTGGCATCAGTTTAACTAAGGGTTCTTTAGCACTTGCTAACTAATGCTTTTGTTTTTAAAGGTGTGTGTGTGTGTGAGAGAGAGAGAGGGAGAGAGAGAGGGAGAGAGAGAGAGGGAGAGAGAGAAAGAGAGAGAGAGAAAGAGAGCGCGCGCGAGCGAGCATATGTGCTGTATGGCACAGGTGCGCAGGTGTCCAGGGGTGCCCCCGGAGCAGACGTTTCTGTCGTTGTGAGCTGCTTGACATGAGTGCTGGAAACTAACTCTTGCCATTTGCTTTTGACTCCTGATCCATCTCTCCAGGAGCTGTTCGAATTTCTTGCCTGGCTTTACTCTAGTAAGCCTTTGTCTGAAACAGTTTCTTTAATAACCAATGGTAATAAAAAAAAAACATATTCATAGCATACAGAGGAGAATCCCACATCAATTAGGCTTCTGGATTTCGTTGGGATTCAAGCCTACGTTTGTTTGGTTCCTGGGCCCAGAAACTGAGTTTATTTCAGCAGTTCACTCTAAACTCAGGAGCTCGACTCTTGGGCCTTGGGAACTCTTGGGTGGTGTTTCCTAGGACACTAAAAAATGTAGGGGGGAAATGTGTTCTCTCACTGAATAAGAACTTTTAGTTATGTATATAGGTGTTTTGCCTGCATGTTTATCTGTATACCATATGCATGCAGTGCCCAAGGACCAGAAGAGGGGTCAGATCCCCCAAACTGTAGTTATAGATGGAGACATAATGTGGGTGCTGGGAACTGAACCCAGGTCTTTGGAAGAGCAGCCAGTGCTCTTAATCACTGAACCATTACTTCAGCCTTTTGAGGTACTTTTGAATGGGCTGTCTTTAGCAATCCATAAATAACAACAGCAAAATAAACAAACAAATCCCACACAATCCAAATAAATAAAACTAAAATGATGGTGCCTCCCTCTGTTGATAAGGATACTGCATTTCAGAGGTTGAGGCACCTCCAGTCACACAGTGGAGCTGTGGTTTCAGCCGAGGTCCTTGACCCTCAGACCCATGTTCTTCTCCTTGCCTTGGCACTTTGACCAAGCAGGCATTAGTCATAGTGAAGGTGTCAGCAATTGGCCTTCCTGCCCCAGCTGTAGTCCTCATCACCTTTCTTTTCCACGTTAGCCTGGTTGACTCATCCTAAGTCCACCACTTCTGCCCACTGCACACTGTTTCACTTGGTAGAAACCTTCTGCCTTAGCCTTGCTTCTTCTTTCATTAGACTACTTCTTGGTCTTTGCACAGGCTGGGCGATTATAATGAGATAACAATGAGGGTAAAAAGTTTGATACAAAGTGCTAACATCTGGTGTCCCACCTTTTCATTACAGTATCTCATGACAACTCTTAATACTACTGGTCCTTGCTACATGGCACCTCTTCAATAGTATTACAGTGACAGTTATATTTCAATATGAACTAACACCACCCCTAGAAAAAAATGTCACCGTGTTCCCTTGGTTTTTAGAGACACAAGAACTCTGGCATTATTCTTTCTAAAGCAGGAGGCCCTGGCAGTGTGTAAACATCCTATCTTTTGAAGCAATCCAGTGAGACTGATATCATATTGTATATGTCTGATACTTGGCTTCAGGGATTTGTTCTGAATATGAGAGATGGCTTTAAAGTAAGAAAAGCCAGGCCTGGAAGGTGGCTCAGTGGTTAAGAGCATACACTGCTTTTTCAGAGTACCAGAGTTTAGCTCCCAGCACCCACATTAGGCGACTCACAACTGCCTATAACTCTGACTCTGCTCCATGGGATCCAATGTCTTCTGGCCTCTGTGGGAATCTGCATTCATATGTATTATCTCTCCCTTTCTCCCTCTCTGTCTCTCTCTCTGTCTCTGTCTCTGTCTCTGTCTCTCTCTCTCTCTCTCTCTCTCTCTCACACACACACACACACAATCAGATTTGAACGAATAAAAATAAGTTGCTGGAGAGATGACTCTGCCCTGACTCTTCTTCTAGAGGACCCGAGTTCTATTCCCAGCACCCACATGGCAGCTCAGAACCACCTGTAATTCTGGTTTCAGAGGATCTGACACCTCTTCCGGCCTCTGTGGGCATTGCATGTATGTGATACAAAGACATACAACATGGGCATCATACCCATGAACATAAACTAAAAATAAAATGAAGCAAAAATGACAAAAAGTAGG